CAGGGGAGCCCCCCACCCCCCTTTTTCTCTCTGCGAGGCAGCGCTGCGGCGATGGCTCGCCGCACCCGGGCTGGCTGGAGGCGCGAGGCGGACGACGGCGACGGCGACGGCGACGGCGACGACGGCGACGGCAACAGCGACGGCGACGACGACGACGACGACCACGACGACGACGACGACGACGACGACGACGACGACGACGACGACGTCGGAGGCGGCGGCGGTGGCGACGAAGACCCCCCCCGACGGCTCGCAGGCGTGGCCACGAGGGCGCCCTGGGAGGCTCGGGGCGGCCCCAGAGGCGCCGGAGAAGCCCGGGGTGCCCCCAGGAAGTGGCTCGAGGGTCCCTGGGCCCTCGACCCCAGCTCGGGGGGGGGAAAGGCAGAGGGAGGGGAGCAGACACAGGGACGCAGATAATCGTCGATGTCAAGGAAGATGCGGGAGAACATGGGAAGTCGAGGGGAAGCCGAAGCTCAAGAAAAGATATGGAAACATGGGGGGAATCCTGGGATTTGTCTCTATTCATTCGTGTGTCCCTGGGCCCCTTCAGAGGGGGCGGGCTTTCCCAGAAGGCTCAGAACGTCCCCTGGGCTTTTGAGGAGCCTGCTGAGCCCCCTGCTGGGCCGCAGGCGGCTGTCCCAAAAAGGGCAGGGGAGTGCTTCCGAGGAGCCCCGTCGCCTTGGAGAAGGCTTGACTCCCCTGCCTTCCCCCCCATCGGCGCGCTGCCGACGAACACCTCGAGCCTCACGAGGCGGCACGGAGGGCAACGTAATTGGCGAAAGCCCGTAATGTCAAGCCAGTTCCGTAGGTGATCGTTTTGTGCTTCATTGTTTTGCCGATCGGCGCTGGCCCTCGCGCCCCCCCCGTCCGTGGAGTAGGCCGTGGCTGTTTTTGGCTCCTTTTTCGGGCAGGTGGAGTCTCCCCCCATAGGACGGACTGTTGCAAACAGTCGCGTTAAGCTGTGCTCCAGAGCCAGACCCCCCCCCCTCCTCGCCCCTCCGCCCAATGTCGAAACGCCGAACAAGAAAGCGTTCACTATGCAAACTGCCCTCGAGGGCATGTGGCACAGTGGCCGGTGTCCTGGGGCCCGGGAACGCCCTTCCGAGGGTGTTTCGAGGGCCACACTGACCAAAAAGGCGTTTCGAGGGCCCCTGGCCCCTGGACTGGGCAGGACGCCCGGGAGGACAAGAAGCGCGGCGAGAGCCCGAAGCGTCCTGTCCAACTGGGCCCGTCGCTGAGAAGCGGTGGCCCCCCGAGTGCAGGCACCGCCTGCAGGGAAAAAAGCACCGATATCGGCCCTCGGCCCTCGGCCCCCCAGACGCCCCCAAGCCTCGGGTGCCCCCTGGGCCCTGGGGCGGATCATCTCCCACATCCCCGGCCTCTCGCCCCCCCGGCCTCGCCCCCCCCCCCCCCCCCGAGAAGCCCCAGCGGGCCTCCACGGGCCCCCCGAGCATCAGGAGGGAAAGAAGCACACAGACACAATTCATCGTCGAGCCCCAGGAAAGTATGGGAACATATGGGACTTTGGGCGGGAAGACAAAAAACCCAGAAACTATGGGAAAATATGGGGAATCATCTTATTTGTGTGTGTGTGTGTGTTTATTTGTGTGTCCCAGGGCCCCTTCAGAGCAGTCTGGGGCGATCTCAGCGCCTCGGCGCCGCCTCCGGCGGCGCCCCTTGCAGGGCCTTGGGCGCTCCGCGTCCCAGGGCTGTGGGGTGCTGGGACCGTCCTGGACTGCTTCGGGAGCCGGTCGAAGCCAGCCGGGACTACTGGGGGGGGGGCTGTCCGTGCGCAGCCCGAGGCCGTCCACCTCGGTCCCCCTCGTCGTCGCCCCACCCCGGCTCCTTCCCGTTCCCAGGCCCCCCAGCGTCACGGCTTTTTCAGTTCGTGGGCCCCCAGAGGTCTCGACCCCTTCCCCGGGACCCGCTCTTCCTCCCGCAGCCGTTTTCTGACGGTCCCGGGGCCCGGTGATGGCCCCCAGAGGTCACGAGGAAGAGGAGGAGGAGGAGGCGGAGGAGTAGGCGGAGGAGGCGGAGGAGGCGGAGGAGGCGGAGGAGGCGGAGGAGGAGGAGGAGGAGGAGGAGGAGGAGGAGGAGGAGGAAGTTAGGAGCAATTTGTTTATCGTGACCTTTTCATGGCCCGAGGGGGTCTCGGGTCCGCGACCCCCCTCCAGCCCCTCCACAGCCCCTTCCCCTGCACGCTCGCATCCCGAGCCCGTTCCCTTCCCCTCGCCCCCTGCGGGAGGAGGGGAACAGTGGCGGGACGGAGAGAAGGATTCGGTGGCGAGCCCTGGGGGGCAAGGGTTTTGGCCTCCTAGGTTTATGAGGGGCGTGTCCCCCTACAGGGATATTTCCGACGAGCAAATAAAAAAACTTCAAACATACACCAAAACGGCAGAAAAATACCACCAACATAGTCCCCATACTATTTTTGGATTATTTTTGGAGAATCGTTTGGGGTATTTTCCAAGTTTCATCGAGAATCCCCCTGTAGGGGGACAGGCCCGACTTAATCCTAGGTCCTAGGCTGAAGTCGGGCGTGCCCCCCCCCCCCCCACAGGAGGAAATCTGAAAACATGAGAGCGCTAGCTTGGGGACGATGTGTTGATCACACATACATACATACATACATACATACATACATACATACATACATACATACATACATACATACATACATACATACATACATACATACATACATACATACATACATACATACATACATACATACATACATACATACATACATACATACACACACATGTCGACTGTTCTGGATGCTTCGTCCGAAATCCGCCCGTAGGGGGGCATGCGCGACCCAGTCCTAGATGGGGTCGGAGCAGAGGGGCTCGGCGGATCGTGCCGCGTCGCCGATGCGTCGGCGATGCGGCTCGCGTCGGAGCCCGATTTGCTTCACGCCGGCGTCGCCGTTGCGTCGCCGGGGTATCGCCGATGCGTCGCCGATGCATCGCCGATGCATCGGCGATGCGGCGCGATCCTCCAACCCCATCTACTCCGGCCCCGTCCGGGAGGCCTGTGGGGAAGGAAGGACGGGACGGAGAGAAGGATTCGGCGGCGAGCCCGAGGGGGGGTATGCGGTGTAATTGAGCGGGAAGGGGCGAGCCTTCCCAGAAGGCTGGGCGGTCCTGGGGCCTCCTGGGGAGTTGTCCAGGCCTTCCCTGAAGTCGGGCCCGTCCCTCTACAGGAGGAATATCCAACAATAGTCAAAACATACTCCAGGGCTGAACCTATACGTTGTTTTTTGTTTTCGTTTTGTTTTCGTTTTCCTTCGCTGTTGTCTCGAATCCGCCTTTACCGCAAAACGAAGTCGAAACGGAAACGGCCCACGAGATCACCCAAAACACCGTGTAGGTCCAGCCCTGACATAGTTTGGGGACGATTTCGGGAGTATGTTATTATTTTTGAGGTGTTTTCGACGATTTGTTTTGTTTCGTCCAAAACCGGCCTATGGGAGGACCCGCCCGACCTGAGCATGTCCCGAGGGCGCACGCAGGGCTTCCCGGAGGGCGCGCCAGCCTCCCGAGAAGTCCCGCCGCCCTCTGGAGAGGGCCTGCGCCGCCGAAGGAGGGATAGCGAGACCAAGGAGGCGGAGGAGGCGGAGGAGGAGGAGGAGGAGGAGGAGGAGGAGGCGGAGGCGGAGGAGGCGGAGGAGGCGGAGGAGGTGGAGGAGGAGGAGGCGGAGGAGGGAGGAGGGGGCGGAGGAGGAGGCGGCGGACGGCGACGGAGCGGAGGAGGAGGATGAGGAGGAGGATGAGGAGGAGGAGGAGGAGGAGGAGGGAGAGCGAAGGATGGTCCTCCAGCAATGCACCTCTGGTGGGGCGGTCCGCGGCGGCCGGCTCAACACGAACGGCTTGAGCCAAAATGGCTACGGTGGGGAGGAGAAGGGAAGGGGGAGGAGGAGGAGAAGGAGGAGGAGGAGGAGGAGGAGGAGAAGGAGGAGGAGGAGGCGGTGGCGGAGGAGGCGGAGGAGGAGGAGCCGGAGGCAGAGGAGGAGGAGGAGGAGGAGGCGGAGGAGGAGGAGGGGGAGGATGAGGGAGAGCGAAGGATTGTCTACGGTAGTTTCATGCGGCGTTGGCGCGCCTCCGACGCCAGCGAAGGCGTGCGAAGGTGCTCCAGGCTGAAATCTGCGGCGCGGAGGCACATGGACGCAGTGACGCCACCGGGCCCGACGGAACGCGGCCTCGAGCGATCGGGGACGAACGATCGAGGCGGTGTCAAACTCCGCTGCGCGTGTCGACGGGGCACGAGCCTACCGTATGGTGGATGGAGGGGTACCTGATGGTCTGTGGCTCCTGCGGGCCCCACCAGGGACCAGGGGGGGGGCCCCCCGTGCCCCGAAGCAGCTCGAGCGGCATGGCCGAGCGCTGACGTTTGGGGCGCCGCGCGGGCTTCCTGGCCCTGCGCTGGGCCACGCCTCCGCTGGTGGGCGGGGTCGCCCCGGGGGCGGCGCAGGTGGCGCCGCCAGGGGGCCCCAGCGCAGATCCAAGAAGCCCGCGCGGAGCTCCCAAAGTTCATGCTTGCGTATGCCGTTGGTCTTCGTGCTACAGCGGGACGCTGAAATGAGGGCAGTTTCGGGTTCCGAAGGGGCTCGCTGTTTCTTGGGTCATGCAGTGATTGTTCCTCTGGTCCTTCTCGCGCGCCCAGGCTTTTTTGGGGTGCCGAGAAGGGGCGTTGTTCCTTACTTGACGTTGTTCATTTCTTCAGCCCGACTGTACGGTCGGTTCACACAGCGATGGCGCGCTGGCGACGCTGGCGAAGGCGTTCAAGGTAGAACTCCGCACGATAGAACGACGGACGACGCGGAAGCACCGAGGGGCGTGGTAACGCCACAAGGCCCGACGGAATTCAACCCGGAACGATCGGGGCCGCGATCGGCTCAAGGTTGAACGATCGAGGCGGTGTCAAAAGCTTCTGCGCGCGCCGACGCCGCGCGAACCTACCGTTGGGTAGGGCATGTCCTCCTACAGGCGAATCTTGGACGAAGAGTTCGGAACAAAAAACAACACCGTCCCTGCATTTTTCACTATCTTTGAATATTCCTCCTGTAGAGGGACATGCCCGACTCTTAAACCCACCGCAGCTCGCAGCCTCGCCGCGCTCGCCGCGCGCGCGGAGGCGCGCCGCAACCGCCTCACGGCCTCGCGCTTCGCCGCCGCCTGCGGCGCGCCGGGCGCGGCGCGGCGCGCCTCGCGCGAGGGCGCGGTGGCGGAGATGCTGTCGATGCCCGAGGCCAGCCCGAGGCGAGCCCGTCGTCGTCGTGGCCCTGGTCGTGGTCCTGGTCGTGGTCGTGGTCGTGGTCGTCGTCGTCCTCCGCCTCCTCCGCCTCTCCTCCTCCTCCTCCTCCTCCTCCTCCTCCTCCCCTCCTCCTCCTCCTCCTCCTCCCCTCCTCCCCCTCCTCCCCCTCCCTCCCCCTCCTCCTCCCTCCTCCCCCTCCTCCCCTCCTCCCATGCCCCTCCTCCCCCTCCTCCTCCTCCTCCTCCTCCTCCTCCTCCTCCTTTTGCTTCTCCTCTTGCTCCTCCTTCCTCCCTCTCCCCCTCCTCCTCCTCGTCAAACTCGTCGTCGTCGTCGTAGCCGTATGGGCTTCCCCGCTTGATGCGAAGTGGTCACACTTGACATTCGCGTGGCAAGTGCCATCACCTGCGCAGGTGACGGTAGACGGGCGGCGATGGCGGCCCCCTGATGGCGGCGAGGCCGCGGGAGCCTCTCCTCGCAGATCTCGCCACTCGAGCCCGTGGCGCTGTTGCGGTTCCGCTTTGCCGATCACCGACCTGGCGCTTCCTGCATCACAACCCGCTGTCAGCGACACGGACATCGCGAGTTGATGATATTGAGTTGGCGGCAGCAGCTGGCGACGCGATCATCCTGACGGGTACTCAGAGACGGACCGAACTACGAGCTGAACCATGTCGCGCGGGGCCCCGGTGGAGAATAGATGCAGGTTTTCAGAAAGGTCCCAACACACACAAAGCTACTGGTATCATGATGTCCTTTGGAAAGGAGCGCAGGGATAATCATGTCCGACGAGTGCGACTACCACCAGCTGCATTAGCGGGGCGGGGTCTGGCAGTACGGATTTCCAACATGTTTCGCGATTTCCGCATTTTCGTATCGACACTACGGTAGTGCAGAGAGAAGGAGCTAGGTAATAACAGTTTGCGGGTATCGAGTTCAGACCGATTTCAGAATTATATCGTCTTTGGGCCGCCAACACATCACCTAATATGGACACGTGGTATGGGGATCAATGCCATAGCAGCTTGATTGACTATATGTTCTGTCCAGCGATGATCACAGTTGCCTCTGCTGGGCTCCTTAGTGGATTGGGACGAACATTACATCTGATCAATATTAAGCAACGAAAAGATCAGTTCCCGATTCATCTGACATTTTCCCTTCCAGCAGGGCCCCCTCCAAACGCAACGGCTCCACTACAATGGTGCAAGGATGATATGATGGACGCGTGTACTGGCATGGGCCACACAACACGCATCGTTTCTTCGACACAGTCGAGGAGTTCATGGCCCGAGACATCGAGCAGTACATGCAGTATGCGGGCCTGGAACTTCCAGATCGCCTCTCTGAGCAGTTGGAGACCACATTGCGAGATGCATGACAAAAGATTTTTAAACAAGGACCCACCTCGAGATGACAGATATGAAGCCCTCCGCCGCCATCGACACCATCTGCTGGCACAGCGGCAGCGACTACGAGAGGAGCCTACAGGTGCCGACGAACAGGAGGAGGCCGTAACCACAGCACGCAAACGATGATCGACACAAGTGCAGCGATAACGAAAAGCAGAGTGGGAACAACATCGGATGGAGCTCATTGAGGGAATGTGGCGTGCATGGAAGGAGAGAACAGTGGCACAAGTGTGCGCTCTTGCTCGACGGGCCGCTGACATCAAATATCGAGCGAAGCGCAGACCGCACCTTGCCGTTAAAATGGATGGTCTGAGTACTGAACAATGGCTGGGAACTTGGAGCCCAGCTGGATGCGATGGAGGCATGCAGGCGCGACATGTTGAAGATTGGCTTCGGGAGCGTAAGCAGCAGTATGTTTTGAACGCGCAATCCCCAGGACTCAAAGAGGAATTTTCAAGGGAGGCTCAAGGTGACCTGCGGGGATCGGGGGCCTGGGCCCGAAGGGCCCCGAAACGGAAGTCTTGTCCGCTATTGTCGGCTCCGTTTGAATTGCTGGCGGTCCTCTTCGCCCCTGAGGCTCACCCCGAAAACCGATCGCCGGCATAGGCACCGAGCTCCCTCCCCTAGAGGCCCCTCTTTCAAAGTTGCCCTACAGGACGGGCTTGCAAATGTTCGGCCGTCTCAGAAGACCCCATCTTGTCGGCGTGTACGTCTAGGCATTACCTGGCCGAAGAAGGCCGACCAGCGTGATGTAGGTGATAGCTCTAAGGGCGTGCGCGCCATGCACCTACTCCCCGCGCTGGGGGAAGGATGGCATTGCATAAATAGCGCCACGCCCGACATGCCCAGCCAGGCATCTGGATTTCGCCCATGTAAAAACACAGAACCCACCATCGGGGGAGCCATTTCAGGAATATAGAGAACTAAAGAAGCAGGTGGGCCCGTGCTCGCGCACATGCGTGATCTTAGCAATGCCTTCGGCAGCGCGCTGGGACTCACTCCGAGGCGCCGCGGACTCGGTAATGAGGGAAGGTTTATCACCCCAGGTTTGCAAGATATTTCAGGAGGCAGTTGTCGCCCCCCCCCCCCCCTCCCATGCCCAGGGGGTCCCGCCTAGTTTTAAACGTCGGCTGTGGAACTTCTATGGGGGGCCCCAGGTGGTGACAGTTTGTGCAGGTTTTTCCAACCCAGTGCGATCCTGCGGCAGCAGCGCACGCGCATTCGCCGCTGCGATGATGACGAGTTCTGCGCCGACGACACTTTCTCAGGGCGACGTGTCGACATGCAGGTTTCAGTGTGCAGATTATTCGTTGGAGTTGTTGCTGTCGCTGGTGAGCGAGAGGCTCGCAGATTTCATGTCGCGCTCATTCCTTGCAGACGAATGCTCGGACGACGCTCTCTCCACGATAGGATGCAGGCAGCATCGCGGGAAGCAGGAGATCGCCCCTGTCCTTGCAGGTGCTGGCCGCACGCGCGCAGCAGAGCGTCTGCGCGCGGGCCTCGTCACCCTCCCCGCTCAGCATCGCATTTCTGCCAGGTATCTGGGCGCGCAGATTGCTGCGAGCTTGCGCGTGTTTTGGGCTGCTCTGATTGCGCGCAGGTCTCTATGTTTTTTGGTCACTACCCGACCGGCCTTGGATGGCGCGGAGGAGCGCGCTGATCTGTTGCGCGCAGAATGCCCCCCTCCACGGAGTGGGGGCTCACGCGCCGACCCAGACGCAATATGCGGCCCGAGGCCTTCGTTTTTTCTTTTTTTTTTTTTGCCAGACAAGCAACGCAAGGGGCCGCTCATTTTCTTCATGTTTCCGAGGGGGTTGAAAAGCACCGCTGCACGAGCGCGAGAGACATTTTTCGGCATTGGCGAAGCGCCCCTGCGCACTTGGAAGTGCGCGTTCGGAATTTAAAACGCGTCCAACAGTATGCCGCGCGCCCCCGGAAGCACTCTCAGACCCTCGCGGCGATCTTCGGGGGGTGCGACTTCTGAGACGCGCGACGCCGTCATCGAAAATGACCCCGCCCCGCGCGCGAACCCCTGGGCCGAACAGATGAAGGAGGATATTCTTGGCGGCGTTCAGAGCATGGACGACGAGGGGGGGGGTCGTAGGCGCGGTCCTCAGGCAGGGCTTCCGGGCGTTGTTCAGGGGCGTCGATATGGGTGGCGGTCTTGGCAAGTTCGGCTTCGACCGGCTTCGACAAGGCGCGCGCGCCGCCGCGCCCCCCCCCCCAGAGTTTCGACGCGCTCCCGTTCCAGAGGCCGCTCCAGATGGGGTGATGCAGTCGAACGATGAAGAAAAAGAGATGCGTCTGTGGGTTTCAGACTGCCGAAAGGGAGTTGTTGTGCGCTTTCTTTCCGAAGTTTCAAAGCAGTAAATCAACGCAGAATGGCAGCCCATGGAGTTCGCGACCCCTGGATGCAGACTATCGCTGCAAACGTCTGCCCCTGCTGCCTCGCTGAGTGCGTGGACATCTCTCTCGGGCCCAGCGCCGCGTCGCGGACTCGCTGTGCAGGGGGGGGGGGGGGCAGTGCATTGCGCGTGCTCGATGCTATGGGGGCCGTCGCGATCCCGACAGTAGGGCCTGCCATTTTTGCTGCTATGTTGGCTCCAGTTTCGAGGCGCTGTAAACGCGTCTAAGAGGTCACGCTCCGCCCTTGGTTCATTTTGGAAATGGATCTAAAGGCCCCCGGCTGGGGGCGCATGCGAGGGCCAGAGGCCAGGTGCAACGGCGCCCCAGGCCAGCAGCCCAAGACGCGCAGGATCGCCGACTTGGCAACGACAACTTCAAGGGCGCGTCGAAGCTGCTGGTGGCGCGGGCGCTCCTCGCTCTCACCAGCGCCGCGGACGTCCGCGAGATCGGCGGGGTGCTCTGGCGCGCGCTGCTGCTTCCCGCCGACAGCCTTCCGGCAAAGGAGGCCAACGCAGAAAGAGTCGCGTGCCGCGAGAGGGCAGAGGAGGCAAACCAAATACCCAAAAACGTCAGAGGCTCTCGGACCACCGCGAGCGTACATCTTCATAGCAGCGCTGCGGGGCCTGGCGACGCTCGAGACGAAATGCGCCCCGCAGGAGAAGTGTCCTCGAGAGCTTCTGGGAGAGCAGAGTGACGAAGGCGACCGTCCCGCTCGAGCTGGCGGAGCTAGCAATGCATTGCAAGGCCAAGCCAGTCAAGAAGAAGGGCGAGGGTGGCAACGGCACGTGAAAGATCCCTTTCGCGATCAAGACGCCCCGCGAGAATCTAGAGAGGGCGATGCTCAGATGCTTGGAGTTGATGGGGGCTCAGCCCAAGATCGGACCCGCACCGAGGGGGCCGCTCGAGCGCATGGCCCAGGACCTGCGAGAGGAGCTGGAGGGCAGCGGCAGCAGCGGCAAGCAGCAGCAGCAGCAGGAATAGAACGGCCTCGTCTTTCCAGCACGCAGCAGGCGTTGATTGGCATGCGCAGCATGATACTGCACGGCTTGGTTCTGGCAGGACTCGTGCCTGTCAGCGCTGCGCTGAGGGCCGCGCCCAGCTCTGCCCCGATTGCGCAAATTCGCCGCGATGTTGCTTATTGTAAGGGGAGGGGTGGGATGGGGTCGTTCTGGACGCGGGAGCGGGAGGGGTCGTGGTTGAATCAAAGGGACAGCTTAACCTCTTCTTTCTTTGAGTAGGGCCAAGGCCCTGGACCTCGCGGCTTGGGGGGTGCTCGACGGCCCATGATGCTATTCCGCTAACCAGGGCGCCGTAGAGAGCCAGCCCCAAGCCCCTGGGCAGCGTCATCGCTGCCGCGTACTCTCTAGTCGCAGGAACTCAGAGCACGCCCCACTTAATTGTGTAACTTTGTTAAGTTCGACTCGTTGTCGATCCGCTTAGTGAAGTAGTGAAGTGACAAGTGGGTATTGCTTCTAGAGTGGTTGAGTTGAATTGAGTCGTCGTCGTCGTCGCCCAGCCCAGCCCGAGGCAGGGGGGCGCCAGCCGAAGGCGAACCAGCCCCGCCACGATCGCGCTGTGAAGAAAAAGCGGCGGGAGGTGGTTGGCCATTTTCGGCCTCCGGGGGCCCTCGCGGGGGCTCTGGGTCTGCCAAGACGCGGCTCAGGATGGAGAGCCGGTCCTGGGGGAATGGGTCGGGACCTCCAGGGGCCCCGTGCTGAAAAAGTCCAGGCAACGCACGTCAGGGGTGGACCTAAACGGCGTTTGGGCGATTTCGTGGGCCGCTTTCCTTTCGAGTTCGTTTTGCGTTAAAGGCGCATTGAAGACAAAACGAGGGAAAACGAAAGCGACACGAACACGAACAACACCGTTCTAGGTTCAGCCTGGCGCACGCCTGAAGACGGCATACTCATGAACTTTAAGACTGCTCTTGTTGCAGGGTCCAGCGAGGAGACGGGTTATCGGGCCCGCCCGCCCGCCTTCCCCCAGTCGGCTGCGCAGGTCCGACGAGCGTGAGTTTGGGGCCAGGTTTGCATATTTTTGGCACATTTGGCATATATGGCCTCGGGATTTTTGGGTATATTTTGGCATATGTGGCTCTAGTTTCGGGAAGGTTTTTGGCATATTTTGGCTTCGGGCCCCGCTTCCGGGGCCCAGGTCCGTCAGAAACGGAACCGGAATCGAAAACTGCACCAGAGGGACCCTGAGAAGGTTTGGGTGCCGACTTTGAGCGGATCTGCATCCCATTCAGACTCCCTGGCCGCCTCCAAATCTCTAGGCCTTCCGGATGGGGTCCGAGTAGATGGGGTCGAATGATCGCGCCGCATCACCGATGTATCGCCGACGCATCGCCGATGCATCGGCGACGTTTATGCAGCGGCGACGTTTGCGAGGCATCGGCGACGTCGGCGCAGAGGAAGTCGGGTCCCACATCGAGCCGCATCGCCGATGCATCGGCGATGTGGCTTGATTCTCCGACCCCACCCGCTCCGGACCCCCTCTGGGAGGCCTCTGACATCGAAGGGAAACATGCGTCAGAAGCCACGAGCGGTCGGAGCTCCACGCGGACTGCTTGGATCGCCGCTGGCCTGCCCGGGCGACGCCTCGGGCGCCGCCAGGGAGAGGGGGGTCCAGCGCCGATCCAAGGAGTTCGGGCCCGTGGCCCCCACACCTGGCCGCAGTGTATGTTGCTCCCATCGCACTGAAGGGCCACATCCCAGAAATGATTTCGGGCGCCCGGACAAGCATCGAAGCAGTGCCGAACGACCATCGCCTCCCAGCGCCCAACACGTGAAAACCCTCCAGTCTCGGCGCCTTCTTCGTGCTCGCAATTGTTTCTGGTGGTCCAGGCTAAAGTAGGTTGGAACATCATAAGCAGCAATCGGCGCGCTCCCCGCAAACGCCGACCCCGCCATCCCTCCGAGGAGGAGGACAAGGAGCCCGAGAGCCCACCTCGCTCAGGAGCACGGGGATCTGCTATCGTGGGCCTCTCGCCGATCCACCGGCGATCTGTCGCCGATTCCAGCTCGGTATTGCCCCCGATGATCGAGGAAGAGACAGCAGCACAAGCATAGACTGTCGAAGGTCCGCGCAGATTTCCTGGAGTGGCGCTGGCCTCCCCGGGCGGCGCCTCCGAGCCAAGAGAGCGTTTCGGGGTTCCGACAGCTTCTGTTCGTGCCGTGTTCCATCCAGTCGTAGAGACACGCGGCGGAGATTCTGATGCAGAAAGGGTGCCGGTACAGCTGCTCACCCTGGAGAGCCCCCTCGTCGCCGCGGCTGCACTGTCCTCGAGATCCTGGTCCGGGCGCACCCCGGGAGAGGTCAGAGGTCAGGCGAGCAGCGGCATCGGTACACGGTGGTTCCCTTTGTGCGGTCGGACCGACGTATGAGCTCGAGATCGGGTCGGGGAGGGTCACCCGGATGTTCTTCGTGCTTGTTGGATGCTATTGTGCACCCTGGGGGAGGGTACCCTCGAATGCCCTTCGGTTTGGCTGGCGGACGGTCCCATGTTCTTGAAGGATGTTCTTGTGGCCTAGGTCCTTCCGTATTCGGGAAGGGCTAGGGCGCACGAGGATGAATCCGTGCCAGACCGTTCCTGAGCGCTCTGAGAGCGCTCCTGAACGCTCTGAGAGCGTTCCCGAACGCTCTGAGAAGGCCGCGGCGCCCGAGACATCGCCCAGAGCCGCCGGACCTCAGAGATTCTCGGTAGTAATTACCTTTGCCGGGTGTTATCTTCGTCCTGGCTGGGTCGTGCGTGAGCACGACCCAGCCAGGACTTGTCCGATGTTATCTTCGTCCTCGTCATCTTCGTCTTCGTTATGTTTGTCCTCGTCCGTCCTCGTTATCGTGAGCCACGTCCGATGTTATCCTCGTCCTCGTTATCTTCGTCTTCGGTCGGAGGGCCGCGCGGATCTCGCGCTTCGAGTCCAGAGAGGCGCCGCTAGGAGGGCCCCCCCCGGCGCGGGCCTCCGGGCTCCCTCTGTTCGTGCCGCTCCTGGGTAACAAAGAACGGAGAACCAGCAGGGAATTACCAGCCTGGAACACATCCCTATCCCTATGTTTGACATCACCTCACCTCGATGCCGATCTCAAGGATTCCCTCAGTTTTTGAGGGCCTACCCCTAAGATTGTCCTCGCTTTTTGCTCGCCCATCTTAGGGATAGGGATACGGTCGAGGCTGGTTAGGGAACACACAAAGAAGTGTCGATCCCCCGGAAAAAAGGTGGGAAATATGGGAAGTCGAGAAGGCGACAGGCCCGGGAGGTATGGAACATCTGGGGGCTGTTTGGGTTTTGTGCCTGTTCGTTGGCGTGTCCCTGGGCCCCCTCGGAGCAGTCCGAAGCGGAGATCTGCCCGTGACCGCCGCCCGGAAGCCCTCTCTGCCTGGGACATGGGAGCCGGTGGATAATGGAGGCACGCAGTCGGGCCCGGAGGAGCCAGAGACCATGGTGCATCCCCCATCATCCACTACAGGCCATCCCCCTCAGTCTCCCCCCCGTTCGGGTCTCTCATTCCATATTTCCCTCCGTCTCGTCTTTCCTTCCCCTCCCCCTCCCCCTCTCCCTCTCGCTCTCGCTCCCTCGCCCTTTCCCTCCCCGATTCCCGTCGACTCTCCCTGCAGCCCCTCTCGCCCTCTCCCTCCTCCTCCTCCTCCTCCTCCCCCCTCCTCCTCCTCCTCCTCGTCCGTCCTCCCTCCTCCCCTCCTCCTCCTCCTCCTCCTCCTCCTCCTCCTCCTCCTCCTCCTCCCTCCTCTCTCCCTCCTCCCCCTCATCCCTCCTCTTCTTTTCTTCTATCCTCCTCCCTCCTCCTCCTCCTCCTCCTCCTCCTCCTCCTCCTCCTCCTCCTCCTCCTCCTCCTCCTCCCCCTCCTCCGCCTCCCCGTCCTTCCCGTCCTCCTCCTCCTCCTCCTCCTCACCACCCTGATCTGGCGAGGCCTCGGGTTGCGCACAGGCAGCCCGCCCCCGAGGCAGTCCCGGCTGGCCTCAGCAGGCCCCCAAGCAGTCGAGGCCTGTCTTCTGAAGCCGGGCATTTCCATCTACAGGAGGGGTATTCAAACATAGTCCCAAAAACATAGCCGAGGGATATTCAAGAATAGTCAAACATATCCAAAAGTAGTCGAGGGAGATTCAAACATAACCCAAACAAAAACATATATGGGGGCGATTTTTCTGAATTATGTTTCGACTGTTGGGATATGTTTGGGCTACCTTTCAGTTGAAATTTCCAAGAAGAAGCCTCGTGAAACCAACCCCAGCTACCTAACACAACCACGGAGCCTTTCTATTAGACTTGCTAAACTTACCAAGAATGAGCCTCGTGAAACCAACCCCAACTACTCAACACAACCCTCTGCGCACAACCCAAAACCCTCCACCCTGGCCCCCTGCGATCCGAACGCTGCAGACGAAGGCAGCATCGCCAAAGTGCACGGCCCCAGCCCCGGGGAGCCCACCTTCCTGCGCCGCTCCTCGGGCCCGGCTGCTGCTCTGTGAGGGCCCCGGGCCGAGACCCCAGGCGGGGCGAGAGCGCCCCCGGCCCTCCGAGGAGCCTCCTGAGCCCTCCCCGGTGCCGCAGCCCACTTCTCAGCAGGCGCGAGGGCCTCTGAGCGGCCCCGGCGCCTTCCGAGAAGGCCTGCTCCGCCTGAGCTCCCCCCCTCCGCTCGCCGCCGCGGGTTGCAGCGCTAGGATCTCGGGCCCCCCCTCGCCGTCGCCCGCCCCCCCCCCGCCCCTCCCGCTCTCTTGGCATCGCTCGGGCGTGTGTTTTTTTTTTTTTCTTCCTCGGCGAGGACCACTGTGCAGCATCCCCCGGGCCGTCTTGCGAAAAAGGAGCGCGCGAAGCCGGCGCGTGCACGGAGACTGGACGTCCGAGCGATGGCAAGTTCTCCGCCCGCTCGCCCAGCAGCGCGGCCCGCTTCGGGGTGCGGCACGAGGGCCTGGCGCGCGAGGCCTACGTGCGCGCCCGGCGCCGGGAGGGCCGGGCGCTGGACCCGGGCTACGCGCTCGAGGTGCGCGAGGCTCGTCGAGGGAGTGAGCACGAGGGCCACGACTCAGAGGAGAAGGAGGAGGTGCCCCCCTTCGCCCGTCTCCCCCTTTGTTTCCAGCCTCCCCGAAGGCCCTCGTCGCCACCGCTGGGTTCGCCCCGAACTTCTGGTCGTAACGCGTCCCGGGAGAGATCCAGGGCGTGTATGGCGGCATCGGTGCCTTGGAGTCCCCCCAGTGACAAAGATGTCGCCCCAGGAAGGGCGCACGCTGGCCATGACTCAAGCAGAGGCGCAGCGTCCTGGCTTGCCCATGGGCTCACCAAGTAATGTTCTCAGAACCTCGTGTGGTTTGTAAGAATTTGTCTTAGAGCATAAGGCTGTCTTGTTTGATTCAGCGACCTTCTTTTCTAAGAACATTGTTTGGGCTGTTATAACATGTTTTGGCATTTCGTGGTGGGCCTATAGGCATAGGAATGTCGGGACGGGTGTTCCCTGCTTAGATGACCCAGATGTCGCCACAGGGGCATGCGTTCGGTGGCAGTTCATGGGAGTCCCGCGTGTCCTCGCAATGCCTCTTTTAGATTACGTTAGCGTGTGCCAGCATCTGGTGATCGATGGGGCAACTAGCGTCGAATTGGTGTCGATGAGCGTCGAGTGGCGTCGGTTAGCGTCGGTTAGCGTCGATTCGCGAGAGCCAGAAAGATGGCATGCAAGGCTCCCGTGCGATGCCACAGAATTTGTTCGCATTGTGAACCGAATTCGCTACGGTCTGCGTTTTACTGTTTTCGGTCTCTGAGGACCCTCGCCAGTCCCCAGGACCGTCGAAACACGACACAGGATGAAAAGCCAGGACAAATCATGATTTCCGGTTCTGGGGATGTCGCTGGATCTTGTCGATTCCGGCTGTCTGAACCCATTCCCGCGACCAGAGTTTCGCCCTTGAGTTTTTTTTTTGTGGATGGTCCCGAAGCCCGGCGAGGGCCCCCAGCGGCCGATAATAGCACGCAGTTGTCGTTGCGTCGCAGCGCGGCAGAGGCAGTCCGCACGCGCGCTCACGTGGGCCAAAGCAGTAATAACTAGCAACAACACGATCCGTGGCGATCTTTTGTCACGGCGCGAGAGGGTCTGGGCAGCGAGTCGCGAGGGCCCCCGGAGGACGAGCATAGCCTCAAAACAATCCGCAGCGATGTCTCTGTTTTGCGACGCGGGCGGGGGCGTCTGGTGGGGATGCGCAAGAGGGGGGCCTGGGCACGGGGGAGGGCCGCCTCCTGGCAGAGTCGGCGATTCCCCCTCGGAGCCCGGGTCCCGAGGAAGAGGGGGGAGGATGAGGAGGAGGAGGAGGAGGAGGAGGAGGAGGAGGAGGAGGAGGAGGAGGAGGTGCTGTGGCACTGCATGTCGCGTCTCGTGCCCCAGAGCTGTATGGGCCCAGCTCCAAAGCAGCTCGCGCCGCCGAGGCTAAGCTTCGGGGGAAGGATCGGGCCTTGAGGGTGGAGGAAGCTAAGGCGGCCACGACCCATAGGATCGGGTACGACACTAAAGGCATCAAGTGCTTGAGGTGTTTTTCTCGGCCCTCAATCGATCTCAAGGTGTGAGAATGGTTAGCCTCCCCTTGTGCCCATGTCCCCGCTGGCCTCGACCCCTCCCATAGGGTGGAGTTTTGCAAGGGGGTTTTCTGGTGTCAGCTGTGCGGGGCGACTGGCACGAGGGGGAAGTTTGTGAAGCTCGGCAAACCGTGTCGACCTGATCAGATTGGTACCTGGGGGAGGAGGGTCCTGAGCGCCTTCGCTGCAGGTAAGCTCCCCCCTGGGTTTAAGTCTTGGCCAGAGCCAGACGAATCCGTTTAGTCTTTCGTTTTGGCGTGCTCGATTCTGGCATTTCACGTTGCAGTTCTGGACGTGGACGAGGAGGAGGAGGAGGTGGAGGAGGAGGAGGAGGAGGAGGAGGACGACGAGGCGGAGGAGGAGGAATGGGATGGAGAATGGGAGGAGGAATGGGAGAGGAATGGAGGGGAGGAGGAGGAGGGAGAGGAGGGAGAGGAGGAGGAGAGGAAGGAGGAGGATGAGAGGAGGAGGAGGAGGAGGAGGAGGATGATGGAGGAGGGGAGGAGGGGAGGAGGAGGAAGGAGGAGGAGGAGGAGGAGGAGGAGAGAGGAGGAGGAGGAGGATGAAGAGGAAGAGGGAGGAGGAGGAGGAGGAGGAGGAGGAGGAGGAGGAGGAGGAGGAGGAGGAGGACGAGGACGAGGCGGAGGAGGAGGAGGAGGAGGAGGAGGAGGAGGAGCAGGAAGAGGAGGAGGAGGACGGGGACGAGGCCAAGAGTGGCTGGGCCATGCCAGTTCGGGGGGCACCATCCAGGCCCTGTCGCGCTATGACCAACAGATGCTGGCGGGGAGTGTTCCGCAATTGTTTCGGCCTCCTGTTGCTGTGCCCTCGCACCGGACCTCGGCGCCGTCGACGAACAACTCAGGATGAAAAGCTGGTCCCAGGGAAGCGGTCGAGACCTTTGGGGGTCGACGTTGTGAAAAAAAATCACGGCGTCGGGGGTATGGGGCCATCCAAGCCTCCCAGGCGGGGTCTGCGTGGGTGGGGTCGGAGGGTCGCGCTTCAGCGCCGCTGCATCGGCGACGCGGCTCGATGTGGAACCCGACTTTTTCCACGCTAGCGTCGCTCTATGCAGTGCCGATGTCGACGATGCATCGGCGATGCACCGGCGAAGTGCGGCGCGCTCCTCCGGTCCGACCCCATCTACTGCGCCCCCATCTGGGAGGCCTTTTTATCGGGCGGGGCTAGGACGAGGGTAAATCCGTTCCAGAACGCTCGGAGAAAGCCGTGGCGCCCGAGGCATCCTCCGGAGCCGCCAGACCCAACATATTCTCGATGCGTCCACCCGATGTCATCCTCGTCCTGGCTTCGTCTTGCACTGACGGCACCGCCCCGGGGAGGTGGGCGCGTGCGCGTGGGAGCCTCTGCAGGCGGGCCGAGGTGGAAGATCGAGGTCGGTCAGGGGAGGGCACCCTCGTATTTTTTTTTGGTTCGTGTGCTGTTCTTGTGCATCCTGGGGAGGGCACCCTTGGATGTTTTGTTTGTCTTGGCCGACGGAGGGCCTCAGTTTCTTAATGGGTGTTCCTCTCTCCCAGGCCGTGGCGCCCGAGACACCCCCAGAACCGCCAGACCTAAGATATTCTCGATCCATCCGCACCCAATGTTATCCTGGTCCTGGCTTCGTCTTACTCTATTGGCACTGCCCGCGGGAGGTGGGCGTGTGCGCATAGCATAGGGATAGGAGAGGCACCGGACGTCCTCCCTGCTGCAGAGGAGGTTACGGGGAGCCATGGCGGCGACGCCTCACCAATGAGGGGCCTCTTCGTGAAGATTGCGCGCGAGAACCCGGAGGAAAGACCTGAACAAACCCAGGGATCCTAAATGGGCAAAAAGGAAAAAAAAAATACTCAAAGCGGGGGGACACGGGAGTTGAAAAAACGGGGGGGGGCTTTTTTTTATCTTCGCGGAGGGGGAGGGCGAGGCGTATGATTGAGATAAAAAAAAAAAAAACAGGGGATCGGAAACCAAGGGGGGGGGGGGGGGGGGGGGGGGGGGGGTACAACCGTTCCCGGTGGGAAAGGGAGAGTTAAAATAAGGGGAGGAGGAGGAGAGGAAGATGAGGAGGAGGTAGGAAGAGAGAGGAGGAGGAGGATGAGAGGAGCAGAGGAGGAGGAGGCGAGCACAGAGGAGGAGCAGAAGCAGGAGGCAGGAGGAGCAGGAGGAGCAGGAGGAGCAGAGGAGGGGAGAAGAGGAGGAAGAAGGTTGAGGAGTTGGAGGAGGGGGAGGAGGAAGGAGGAGGAGGAGGAGGAAGGAGGAGAGGGATGAGGTTGAGGAGGTGAAAAGGAGGAGGAGGCGGAGAAGGAGGAGAGGAGGAGGAGGAAGAGGACGAAAAAGAGGAGGAGGAGCGAGAAGAGAGGAGGCTGAGGAAGGAGGAGGAGGATGAACAAGAAGAGGAGGAGGAGGAGAGGAGGAGGAGGAGGAGCAAGAGGAAGGGGCGGAGGAGAGGAGAGGAGGATGATAGGAGGAGGAGCGGAGAGGAGGAGGAGGAGGAGGAGGAGGAGGAGGAGGTTGGTACTGCCTCCGGGAGGTGGGCGTGTGCGCGTGGGAGCAGCTGCCGTGGCTCGCCGCCTCACCGGACGGCGTCTGCTGGGAGAACGGATCGGGCGCCCGTGGGCGGGCGACCCCCCCCCCCAATGCCCTCTTCCTCACAAGTGCCTCCTCCCTGCCGCACCGCCCGACGTGTCGCCAAAGCGGGACTCCAGCAGTTCACGGATGAGTGTGGGTCGTCTTCAAACTGGGGATCTCGCCTTGGCGCCGCGCGCGGTTGTCGTGAACAAATCCAGCAGCTACAACATGGATCATCAGGGATAAAGAACCCCTACCCTAATAACACAGTGAAGACGTGCCCTCACTGAGGTCCCCGTCTTCGCACTAGGGATAATGGTTCTGGGCGGTGTGGTTTGATACATCAGCAGAAAAGAGCCCCCAACCCTAATGGTCTTGGTCCTCGTAACTTAGGTTCCCTCCCCAAGGGTTAGGGGTCAGTTTTGTGTTAATGAATGTTTGGTGGGCGAGTCATTGTCAAAATGTCAAAGGCCTTGGCGCTGCGTGCACTCGCATCCCTGATTCGGCGGCGAGCCCTGGGGGAGATGAGAGGGGGATGAGAGGGGGCGGGCCTTCTCAGACGTTTCCTAAGCCTCCTGAAAATCGAAGAATAAAACATGCCACACACCATAAGTGTTGACACTCCGAGCGGATCTCTTGGATCTGCGCAGGCCCTGCCCCCCGGCAGCACCTCCGTCGTCGCCCCTGGCGCGATCCGCGCGCCAGGGATGAGGGTCCAGCGCAGATCCAAGAAGTCCGCGCGGAGCGCCAAAAGTTACTGCTTATGCTGCTTGCTTCTTCCAGAAAAGTTGTCTAAGCCTTCCCCGAAGACACGGAACACCTCTCGGAGGCCGGAGAGCTTCTGAGAAGCCCCGCCGCCTTCTGAGAAGGCCTCCTCCTTCTCACTTCCTCCCTCCTCTGGCCGCCGACATGAGGCATCTTTGGTTTTCTCTGGTTCTCCGCCTCTTCCTCCGCATCTTCCAGCCCCCGGCGGGCGCCCGAGCAGACGGCCCACCGGCCTCCTGGAGGTCAAGACGGCCCGGACGTGGGGCGGCCTGTTCGAGGAATCGCTCTCCTCTGGCGTCCCCTCCGACTGGCTGTACCAGGCTCGACGGGCGCAATGCTGGGCATCTCAGAAGGAGGATCGCCACAAACGTAAACTTGCGGAGATCCGCGCGACTTTCTTGGATTCCTGGCGGCGCCTCCGGCGCGCTCCGCGCGCCAGGCAGGGGGGGTCCAGCGCCGATCGAAGAAATCTGCGCGGATCCCCAAAGTTTACGTTCACGCAGTCGTCGGTAACTCCAAAGTGGGGATGCTCGTCGTCGTCGTCGTCATCGTCGTCGTCGTCTTCGTCGTCTTTGTGCGGACGTCGTCGTCATCGTCGTCGTCGATGTCGTCGATGCAGTCGCAGCTTTTTGGGACAAGGAAGCGCACTACCACCACCTGGGGGTGCAAGATCTGCGGGATCTGCAGGGAGTGCCAGGATGCCCCGCGGGAGCGCCCGAAAAGGCACAAGCCACGAGGAGGCATGGAGGAGGAGGAGGAGGAGGAGGCATGGTCGAGGAGGAGGAGGAGGAGGAGGAGGAGAAGGCATGGTCGAGGAGGAGGAGGAGGCATCGAGGAGGATGGGGAGGCCCCTCTGCCTCCACACTCTCCGGGTGGTGGTTGTGTGGGCGCCTTTCGCAGGGAGGGCCAGGCCGAGGCAGCGGGGGCGGCCCTCCCCGGCGCTGCTCGTCCGTTTTTTTGTGCGGGGGCCTCCGGGAGGCACCTCGTCGCCGCGGCGGGGCCCGCCTTCGGTGTCGTTTATCCAATCCCCATCCCCGTCCCCGTCGAGACCCCCACCCAAATTACCACCCCAGTTGGGGATACACCCCTCGAAACCCGAAGGGAACG